ACTTTAGATTGGCTTCTGTTGCTATAGACTGGCTTGCAGTTTTTACAATTTTATATAAACAGAATCATACAGTATGTTCTCTTTGGCTTCTTTCAGCATAATTATTTTGAAATTCACCTATATTGTATCAATAATTTATTGCTGAGTAGTTTTGGAGTGAGTAGGACTGAAGCCTGCTGGGATCTAAAACTGCAGGAGCTCAAAAAGATTTTAAGTTTCTTTTTTTTTTTTCTTAGCATATATTTCTCTGAGTTCCCTCTTTTGATATTTTGAACCTTGGTTATAGGGCACGATGACTATTTACATGAATGTAAAGTTGTTTTCCAGTCACCCTGGAGCTGCAGACCTGCACATACTATCCAGACCTTGGGAAACCAAGGAAGACATCCGTAGAGTTATGCTGATTCCACCCCTCCAACAGCACCCTGAGACAACAGCAAGGACAGGAGCAGAAACCAGATGGAGCCTTGGGCAAAACCTTGCATCTGGCTCCATGCACAGAGCCCTCACAACTCACATGCCCCTCCCTTCTTCCTTTCATTTCCCACATTCCATTCCCTCAACCCCTTCTTTACAAACCCCTCAGTAAATCTGAGTCTTTAAGGTGGATTTAATCTGGCTATTCTCCTGATTTACTGGAGAGATGGGTTAGGTCACTGGTATTCCTGAATAAAGGCTGACTTCCATTTTCACCAACATTTGACTTTTGAGTGGTTTGTTTTTGAAAGGGGACAGGCAGCCAGACCTGTACCGAGTAACACTTTTACCACTGGATATATTGTGAAGGTAGATTTTGAGGGTAGAGCCAATTGGATCTGAAGATGGATGAGATGCGTGATGTGAGAGAAGAGTCAAGAATGACTGTGAACTCTCACCAATCCCGGAGTAATTCCTACTCTTAGTCCTCCCTTCCATGCACAGGCTGTTCCCTGTGCTATTTCCTACATTGGTTGCCTTGCAAATTCCTAAATCACCCAACTCTGAAGAGCCTTCAGTGACCCGGCTGGGCAGGTACTTACAGCCCTTGCAGATTATCTTCACCCTTATCGAGCCAATTAGCTGTTTACTCACTGTTTCACTTACTAGCTAGGGAGCTCCTGGAGAATGTGGATGGCTGGATTATCTCATGACTAGCCTCTGGCTGCACCTGGATTCAATCTTTTCAGCATATTTCCGCCAAGAATACTCTAAATTTACATGTTAAGTTGTGGGTGCTTTGCTTCAAGCCACCAACCCATTAGCTGCATGAGCAACTTAACATCTTTGTGCTGCAGTCTCATTACCTTTAAAGTGTTACCTGCCTGAAGGTGGTTGGTTGGCTCAGTTGGTTGGAGCACAGCCTTGTAAGAACAAGGTCAAAGGTTTGGATCTCTGTACTGGCCAGCTGCAAAAGAATAAATAAAATGTTACCTGCCTCACTTAGTGGTGAGAATTAAGTGCAAAATGAATGTAAAGCTCTTAGTGTGGCACCTGGCACCTGGTGTCTTCCTCAGTAAAATTGAGCTATTAATATTTTCTGATTTGAATACTCTTCTGGTCCATTTCTGAAACTCAAAGTTAGGTGCTATGCAAATAGTTATTCACACAATCTCAATCTTTTGAGAAGTAGAAGGGCCATTTTCTCCTTGGAGGTTGATTCCTTGTATCAAGTCATTTGAATTGCTTTCCCTCCATTGGGATCTACCCTCTTGTAGAAAGTGTCCCATTTCCAGTCCTGGTCCGGGCCTCTCATGCCTAAGGCCACTTGCCTGTTGCCATGACTGTTCTCCACACTGATGCCCTAGGGTTGGGGCAGAAGTGCCTGGAAAACATTCCTTCATTTCAAAATCTCGATGTCCAATATCTTATGAGATACAATTCACACTTCAGCATTCTAAGCCTTCTCAGTTGTGGTCCAAGCCTATCTAACTCTCCAGCCAAACATTAGTTTAACATTTCATTCACTCAATTTAAAAATGTGTAAATGTTCTTCCATGAGTACCTACGAGGAGCCAAGGTCATTATGGTAAAGATCTGAAGCTAAAAATATGCATGGGAGACTGTCCCTGCTCTTTTTTTTTTTTTTTTTTTTTTTTTTTTTTTTTTTTTTTTGTCTTTTTTCATGACTGGCAACGGATCGCAACCCTCAGTGTTGCGCCTGGACCGGACCGGGACCGGCAACAGGATCGCAACCCTCGGTGTTGCTCCCGCTCCTCGCTCAGCCAGTGAGCGGCCGGTCTGTATGTGGGATCCGAACCCTCGGCGGGAGCGCTGCCGTGCTTCCCAAGCAGTGCACTGTAGCAGTGCGCCACGGGGCTGGCCCAGTCCCTGCTCTTGACAAAGCCATAAAATTACAGGTGGAGGAAGTGTAGTGGGAGGACAGGAATGATAAGGAGGGCTCTCAGTAGGTGGAAAAGGGAGAGACTCCAGGCAGAAGGACCGTGTGGGGCTGGCCCGGTGGCGCACTAGGTAGAGTGCGATGCTTGGGAGCACGACGGCACTCCCGCCGAGGGTTCGGATCCCATATAGAGACCGGTCCGCTCACTGGTTGAGCGTGGTGCGGGCGCGACACCAAGGGTTGCGATACCGTTGCCGGTCACGAAAAAAGACAAAAAGGAAAAAAAAAAAAAAAAAAAAGAAGGGCCGTGTGGTCCTACTTACCATTTCCTTGTCATCAATCAGTGTTTATTTTGTGTCCAGCCTCGTTCTGGACTGCGAGCATTTAATAAGTAGGTTTGGTCCTTGTCTTCCCAACACAAAGGCAGGTCCTGGGTCTGGAGCCTGGGGTGCGCAAGATTGTAGAATGATCAAATGGCTGGAGCCTCCTTGTCCAAGGACGGCATGTCCAGGAAAAGTCTCCCAGTCTGCATGTTACCAGTCCTGGGCTCAGGGACCACTGCCAGGCATGGTTGCACCCAAGATGCTGGGAGTTCTCTTTCCAGAGTGTGTCTGTTGGTATAATGATAACTGGAGAGGACATACTTGTGGAGATCACTAGATTCCATCTGGCACCATGGTGATCTCCCTGCTCCTTGACTCACAGCATTGACTCTAGGTTCTTCCAGCTCTAGTGTATTAGTTGGCGCCAGTTCCAGGTGGACTCTACAACTGCTCCCTACCTCTCAACTTGGGCAAATACCTACCTGGCCACCAGGTCCTGCCTGTCACTTAAATGGTACTAATAATCCACATGAGAGAGTGTGCTGCATGCAAAGCAGCTTCCTGGACCTCAAAGGACCAATGTAAGGACAGCTGGAGAGTCACAACAACAATAATAAAGATAACAGTAATATTGTATTTACATGCCAGGGACTGTTCTCTACCCTTTACGCATATTAGTTAATCCTGTAGCCACTCTACGAAGTGCAGTGATTAAGAACATAAACTCTAGAATTAGACAGCTCAAGTTTGAATCCCTGCTCTGCCTGCCATTTACTAGAGGATATCTACCTCATAGGATTGTTATGAGGATTAAAATTTATGCACAAAACAGTGGCTGGTACATAGTAAAAACTAAGTTTTTGATAAATCCCATTTTTACAGATGAGACAAGCACAGAGGAATTAGATAATTTGTCTAAGATAACACAGTAAGTGGTGGATCTGGGAATAAAATCCCTGGAAGTCTGGTTGTAGAGCCCGCACTAGCAATGGAGAGGGGATGTCCACATGAATTACCTTATGAGGGGAGTGGGTAGGGTGAAGTCCTGAATTAAGTGATGTGGAAGCTTCTAGCACTTAAGATGTCAGTCTTCCTTCTGCTGTGGTAAATGAAGTTTGCAGTGACTGGCTGGACTGTCCACCAGTTTCTGGAAGAGGGATCTGAGGCATACTCAGGGGCGGAGAGGCTGGGATTTGGCCTGGTCTCCCCACGCTCCTGTCGCATGGTTCATTTATCGTTGTCCCAGCACTCCCCCCAGGAAGTCTAGTGTGTGTGTGTGTGTGTGTGTGTGTGTGTGTGTGTGATATCGGTAGGTACTTAGTAAATAACAACCTAAAATGGAAAATCCCTGCTAAACCTCCAGGAGTTTGTTTAACCACATGGTGAACAATTTAACTTAACATTTACCTAGGGCCTTCTATGTCAGGTCTTGTGCTGGGCCCTAGGGATACTGGGGTGAATTGATAGGCCTCTTGGACCTCACGATGGTCACAGTTCAAAGGGGAAACCCATGACTCAACAAGCAGATTGTGGGGCCAGCCCTTGGCTCACTTGGTAGAGTGTGGTGCTGATAACACCAAGGCCATGGGTTTGGATCCTATATAGGGATGGCCGGTTCACTCACTGGCTGAGTGTGGTGCTGACGACACCAAGCCAAGGGCTAAGATCCCCTTACCGGTCATCTTTTTTTTTTTCCTTTTTGTCTTTTTTACTGACCGGTAACGGGATCGCAACCCTCGGTGTTGCGCCCGCACCGCGCTCAGCCAGTGAGCGGGAACCGGTCTCTACATGGGATCCGAACCCTCGGCGGGAGCGCCGCCGCGCTCTCAAGCGGCGCACTCTCCAGTGCGCCACCGGGCCGGCCCACAGGTCATCTTTTAGAAAAACAAACAAATAACAAAAAACAAAAAACAAAAAAAAACGAGCAGATTGTGATCAGTGGACCCCAAAGATAAAAGGGAATTAGCCAGGTGGGAGGGGTGAGAAGCGTTCCTGGTCTAGTTAATGGCCCAAGTAAAGGCAAGGAGGCTGTTTCCTTAGGCCAGGTGGTGATCTGGCAGAATCCTATAAACCAGATTATGGAGTAGGGAATTTACCCGGAGGGAGAGGAGAGAGGTTTTAAATTCTGGAGAGGAAAGGTCAAGTTTGCATTTTAGCAGGGTCGCCCTGAGGCTGGAGAGGAAGCCGAAGACAGTTCAAAGGCGCAACCATGGTCTAGGCAGGGGTGAGGGGGCCGCTATAAGGTGGAGGCTATAGGGACCGAGGAGTGGCTCGGACAAGCGCGAGGAATTTTGCCCAGGCGGTTTACCCAGCCTACCCCTTCCATCCTAGCGCCTCCTTCCCTTTCCTCAGTTTTCGCTATGTGGGATACTTCTGGGCCGTCCCGGAACGACACTATGGCTGAGCCTGGCCTCAGTCATGTGGCGTCCCGCTGCAGTCGCACCTCCCAAGTCTCCTCCAACCTCCACGCAGCCGGAGAGGCTCTGGGTATGTGCCCCGTGGGCTCCGCCCAGCCCCAGGTCCCCGCGAAGGCGCTATCCTTTGG